TTTTTTTTTTAAGAGACAAGGTCTTGCTATGTTGCCCAGGCTGGTTTGGAACTCCTGGCTTCAAGTGATCCTTCCATCTCAGCCTCCCAAAAGTCTGGGATTATAGGCGTTAACCACCGCCCCAGCCCAGGGCCAATATTCTTGACTACTTCCCTGCAATGACCCCACATTCAGCCACATTGAATTTCTTTCAGTGTCTCCCACGAGCCATGCTTTCTCTTGTCATCAGTCTTTGCTACATGCTGTGGCCTCTGCCTCAAACTTTCTCTGTCCACTCTCCTTGGCTTAGAAAACCCCTCCCTATTTATCCTTCAGGTTTCAGCTTTGAAGTTTCTCAAGAAGCGTTTCATGGTTCTCCAAGTCCGGGTCAGAAGCCCCTGCTCTATGTTCCCATAGATTCTTGTTCTTCTTCCGACATATAATTTATCCATTATATTATAACTGCCAGTTTCTTTATCTACCTTCTTGGCAAGAATTTGCATTCTATGATTTCAAGAACTATGATCATTTTATGTGTTACTTTATCTCCGGCGTCTGCCACAGGGTAAGCATTGGAAATATATTTTTTGTAGAAATGAACAGAAAATTTAAAACTTTAGTACTTGGGTAGTCTACTCTGGAGTTCTTTAACACTGGCGGTTGGGAAGGGAATACTGCAGTTATTTTTTCTGTTTGTATCTCTTCAGGGAGCGATTCCAAGCACAACCGAGAAAGAACTCAATGGCAGTGGAAATACTGAGGAGAAAGGGAGACAAAGATGCGGGACAGGTGGGATCCGGGGCTGTTTCGCTGGGAGGGTTTTCCCCTCAGCTGCGGTTCTTCGCTGGAGTGCTAGTATTTTGGCCGCCAGGTGGGAGGCTGCGGCGGCCACACCGTCCCTAGGGGGCGTCCGCGAACCCCGCGTAGGGTGCTACCCCTCAGCCGGGACCGCCGGCGGAGCCTCCTCACAGCCGTGATCCTTCGGGAGCTTCCAAAGGCTCCTGGAAAGTTCGGGAACTCCCTCACAGGTCATTGTCAGAGCGGCGACCCTCCAGCACGTGTTCCGCTTCTGTCCTGCCTTTCCGTGACTGGAACACCTCAGAACTCCGGACCTGAGCAGACAGAGCCTGCGGAAGAACGGTGGTCTCCTGACGGGAGTCCCTGAGAGGAAAGGGCCCCGGGCCCAAGAGCCGGCCTGACCTCGGCGGGCTGGCGTTGGGAGCAGCGACCCCGGGCGGTCGCGGGCCTGTGCCCTCCGAGGGGCAGAGGGTGGAGGAGAAAAGAGAAAACCGATGACTGATGACAGAGGGGCGAGAAAGCTCTACCTACAAACAAGAGGGAGCCAGAGGAGATTATTTTCCACGACCAGCAATGGTGAAACGTCCTGGTGTTGGTTGGACAGAGGCTGATGGTAGCGACGCCCGACGCCGGGCTGAGAGACACGGGGCTGAGTGTTGGAGAGCAGCAGGTGATGCCTGAGAAGATAGGTGAGCAGCCCTCTCTTTGAGGACTCCTAGAGGAATTAATGGGGAGGTGGTATCCTGAGAAAATGTGGACTCCCTGCTAATTAAGGGGGTGGGGACTGAGAACACAAGAGTGGGATATGGCTGTGAAGATGTTGTTATAGATTTACACTCACCGTTAGGAAAGTCGGCGGAAAATACAGGTTGTGTTTGAACTTGCAGTTGCTGTAACCCGGTGACCCTATCTGTGGAACAGAGGAAGAGATTAGTGGTTAGGACTCAACTGAAGAACCTAGTTGTTATAAAATATTAATATAAAATCACCATAGGACAACTACAGTACTGGCTATGAATCTCCAAGCTTTATTTGCTCAGCCTGAGCCCAGAGATCTATTTCTTGCTTGCTTGCCCTCATTCCGTTCCTTCTACCTGTCCTATTTCCCTTCTTCCTCTCCTCTCTTTGCACCCCTCCCCTAGCTGCATCTCTTCTCTGTCATTCTCTTCTCCATCATTCCCTTCATCCTTCCATTAAGCCAGGAGTTCTTTACCCTAGAATTCTGATGGTCCCTGAATGAAGGTGGAAAGAAAATCCTATCTTTGGATTGTCTAACATATAAATAAATTTTAGCATCTTCTTCAATTATGAGAGCAATCACAAACCTCAGTAATATTATCAGCACCTGTGACTATGTGACCAATAGAAATCACAGTACTGGTAACACTACCTGTACCTTTGTCACCATAGAAATCACAGATACTGTCATTCACATTGTGGCATTTAGAGATATTTTTTGCTCACTATGTGAAATTATGAGTTATTTGACCTGCTGTCTGATCTTTTATTTCATGCATTTACACTGAAACATATTTAATACTATGCCATTAATTGTTAAAACTATATTGATAACCATAGTTAAATAGAATTGGTTTTCTTTGCATTCATTCCTAATCTTACTATGATGCATGGAAGGAAAATTGGTGCTGGTGTTGAGAAAGTGAATGATTCAAATCATTGGCCACAAATCTTTTCTCAATTTAGGTGGTTTCTTTAAACAAAATTGAAGAAGGACCTAATGTATCTAATAGATAATTAGAAGTAATTTTTAATGATAAATCACTGAGATATTTGGCTTATAACTCTGGAGAGCAAAGAATTATGTGAGGTTGCCATAACAAAATGGTTACTTTTCCTGTCTACTTATTTATGTAAATAGGCTTTCTCAGAGCTTATGTTTAAAAATATAAAAAAGGATTGATTTTGTACAATGACTAATACTATCTGTAAGTGCATAGATAGATTTGTTAAATAAAAGCCACATTTGCCTCATTAGGAGATAACAGGCATACCTCAGAGATATTGTGAGTTCAGTCCCAGAACACTGCAATAAAGCAAGTCACAAATTTTTTTTCATTTCCCAGTACATATAAAAGTTATGTTCAAACTATATTATAGTCTAAGTGCACAATAGCATTGTGTCTAAAAAATAGTGTACATACCTTAATTTAAAAACACTTTATTCCTAAAAAAATGCAAATGATCATCTGAGCCTTCGTCAAGTTGTAAGCTTTTTGCTGGTGGAGGGTCTTGCCTTGATGTTGATAGCTGTTGACTGATCAGGGCAGTGGTTGCTAAAAGTTAGGGTGGCTGTGGCAATTTCTTTTCTTTTCTTTTTTCTTTTGAGACAGAGTCTCACTGTGTTGCCCAGGCTAGAGCACTGTGGCATCAGTCTAGCTCACAGCAACCTCGAAGTTCTGGGCTTAAGCCCAGCCTTCCAAGTAGCTGCGACTACAGGCATGTGCCACCATGCCCGGATAATTTTTTCTATTTTCAGTAGAGATGGGGTCTCAGGTTGCTCAGGTTGGTCTCCAACTCCTGACTTCAAGCGATCCTCCTGCCTTAGCCTCCTGGAGTGCTAGGATTATAGGCCTGAGCCACCACCCCAGGCTGAATTTCTTAAAATAAGACAACACAATGCCGTTTGCCTTGATTGACTCTTCCTTCCAAGAAAGACTTTTCTGTAGCATGTGATGCTCTTTGATAGCATTTTACTCCTAGTAGGACTTCTTTCAAGATTGGAGTCTGTTGTCTCAAAACTTGCCTCTGCTTTATCAGCTAAATTTGTGTAATATTCTAGATCCTTTGTTGTCATATCAACAATGTTCACAGTATTTTCACCAGGAATAGATTCCATCTTAAGAAACTGCTTCTTTGTTCATCCATAAAAAGCAAGTCCTCATCAATTCAAGTTTTATCATGAGATTACAACAATTCAGTCACACCTTCAGGCTCCACTTCTAATGCTAGTTCTCTTGCTGTTTCCACACATCCTGAGTGACTTCCTTTACTGAAGTCTGGAAACAACTTCTTGCAAATTACTGTTAATGTTGATATTTTTACTACCTCCCATGAATCATGAATGTTCTTGATGGCATCTAGAATGGTGAATCCTTTCCAGAATTTTTTCAATTAATTGACTTTGCCCAGATCCAACAGAAGAGTCACCATTTGTGGCAGAAATAAAATGTATTTTTTTAATAATTTATAAGTTGAAATTACTCTTTGATTAATAGGCTGCAGAATGGATGTTGTGTTAGCAGGCATGAAAACAACATTAATCTCCTTGTATATCTCCATTAGAGCTGTTTGATGACCAGAGGCATGGTCAGTGAGTAGTGATACTTTGAAAGGAATCTTTTTTCCTGAGTAGTAGATATCTACAGTGGGCTTAAAATATTCAGCAAACCATGCTACAAGTCTGAGGTAAGGGAGAGAGATGTGGGAATGGTGGATTGGTGGAGCATTCAGAACATACACAACATTTATTAAGTTCGTCAGTTTCTATGGGCTTGGTTAACAGTAGTAACATCAAAGATCACTGATCACAGATCACCATAACAGACATAATAATAATAATGAAAAAGTTTGAAATATTGCAAGAATTACCAAAATGTAACACATAGATGTGAAGTGAGCACATGCTGTTGGAAAAATGGCACTGATGCAGAGTTGCTACAGACATTCAATTTGCAAAAACACAATATCTGTAAAGCATAGTAAAGCTTTAGCACAATAAAACAAGGTATGCCTGTACATTGCTGATAAAATTTTTCTTATGTTCAATATCTATGTAAGTTTTATTATATTTATGCTATTTGCTCAATTGGATAGTAATAATTGTAATGACAACTTGACTCAGAAGAACTTTTTTTAATACTCTGAGCCTTATGGCCACAGTAAGTTAATATATTAAATTTATCATACTTTTGTTTAAAAGAATTATGATAGGATGATTAATGATATGATCAAACATAAAAGTATAATGCACTCAGATTTAATGCAGTGGGAGAAGTGAAATGAAAAATCACATCATAGGAGAAATAAAAATAATATGCATTTCTGAAGATCTTGTTATTTTCTGAAAAGAAACAATGGTGGGTGGGTATCAAATTATTACAATATTTACATTCCATTGGGTAGATTTGAAGGTGTGAATAATAATTTTTCTTAAAAATATCTTTAAAAATTATGCTGAAAATTACCTTACATCCTTCCTAACTATTTACACTTACAGTGAAAACTTTTAGATATTAACTAATAATATACAAAAAGGACCATAGGGTTTTCCTTTTCTTTTCATTGAACTATAAATACACACAGGAAAAAGTAATCAGTCACAAGTTTACAACTCAATGCGTTTTATGTTTTGGTGACCCTACATACTGAGGAGTGGAATTATTGGTAGGTCAATAATGGCTCCCCAAAACATGCCCATTTTCTCATGTCAGGAGCCTGTGAATGTACCTTACTTGGCAAAAAGGTCCTTGCAGATGTAATTGAATTAAGAATTTTGAGATAAGCAGATTATCCTGGATTATTCGGGTGGGCCCTAAATGCCATCATGAGTGTTCTTATAAAAAAAGGTCAGGAGGAGAATAGAAACACATAGAGGGGAAGAAGGCAATGTAAAGATGAAGTGATACAGCCACAAACTGAGGAATGTTGATAGCCATCAGAAGCTGGACAAGACCAGGAATGGATTCTCTTCTAGAGCCTTTGGAGTAGGTGTGGTCCAGGCGATACCTTGGTTTCAGACTTCTGGCCTCCAGAACTGCAAGAGAATAAATTTTTGTTGTTTTAAGTCACTGAGACTGTGGTAATTTGTTACATCAGCCACAGGAGACTAATGCACAAGGTATATAGTGTATGTAAACATGCAGTTATAGTAGATACTGCCAAATAGTTTTCCATAGTGGTTGTACTAATTTATAACCCCAGTAGTAGTGTATAAGAGTTTTGGTTGCTCTACATCAAGCATGGGGGTCAGATATTAAAGAGCTAAAGAGTAGATATTTTAGGATTTACAGGCCATGTGGACTTGTGGCAGATTCTCAGCTCTGCCATTGTAGAATGAAAACTGCAGACAATAGAATGAGTGAGCATGGTTGTGTTTCAGTAAAACTTTATTTAGAAAAACAGATCATGCATCCTAGTTTGCTGACCCCTGTTCTGTATCTTCACTAACACTTAGTATTTTTTGTCCTTTTTATTTTAGCCACCTGGTTGATGTGTAGTAATATCTCATTATGGTTTTAAATCACATAACGCTGATGACTAATGAAGTTGAATGTCTTTTCATGTGTTAATCATTTAGTTGTACTCTTTTGTGAAGTACCCATTCAAATGTTTTGCTCATTTTTACATATAATAATTTTGTTGAGATATAATCTACATACTATAAAATTCATCCTCTTAAAGTATACAATTCACTGGTTATTAGTTTATTTATAGTGGTGTACAACTATCATGATTACCTATCCCCCTTTTTAAACCTCCCATGCCCATTGACATTTACTCTCCACTCTTGCTATCCCTAACCCCTGCTAACCACAAATCTTTCTGTTTTTATGGATTTGCTAATTTTGGACATTTCGTATGAATGGAATCATACAATGTGTGGTCTTTTGTGTCTGGCTTCCTTCATTCAATGAATTTCACATAATGTTTTTAAAGTTCATCCATGTTATGGCATGTATTTGTGCTTCCTTTCTTTTTATGGCCAGATAATATTCCATCGTGTAGTTATACCACAGTTTTTTAATCTATTCATTGGTTGATGAGGATTTGAATTACTTCCACTTTTTGGCTATTTTGAATAATGCTGCTTTAAACATTCATGTACAGGTTTTTGTGTGGACATATATTTTTAATTCTCTTGTGTATAGATGTTGTAGTAGAATTGCTGGGACATCTAGTGACTAAATATTTAACATTTTGAGCAACTTGCCAAAGCGTTTTCTAAAACAGGTTGGATCAAATTGTGAAACTTTCTTTCAGTTTTTTGTTTCTTCTCACTGCAGTAATTTGTATGTGTGTGTGTGTGTCTTTTGGATATAATCCTGGCAGTAGGGTTGAGGCATCCACTGTGCTATGTTTTGAATATATCATCCCATTCTCTCCCAGCCTATAAAGTTTCTGGTGATAAATATGCTGTTATTTGAATGGGGATTCCCTTTATATGAGACTTGATGCTTTTCTCTTGCTACTTTTAAAATTCTTTCTTTGTGTTTGGCTTTTCGCAATTTGACTATAACATGCCTTGGAGAGGACCTGTTTGGGTTGAATCTACTTGGGGTTCTTTTTTTTTTTTTGAGACAGAGTCTTGCTTTGTTGCCCAGGCTAGAGTAGTGCCGTGGCGTTAGCCTAGCTCACAGCAACCTCAAACTCTTGGGCTCAAGCAATGCTTCTGCCTCAGCCTCCTGAGTAGCTGGGACTACAGGCATGCACCACCATGCCTGGCTAATTTTTTCTATATATACTAGTTGGCCAATTAATTTCTTTCTATTTATAGTAGAGATGGGGTCTTGCTCTTGCTCAGGCTGGTTTCGAACTCCTGACCTTGAGAAATCCGCCCGCCTTGGCCTCTCCCAGAGTGCTAGGATTACAGGTGTGAGCCACTACACCCAGCCTACTTGGGGTTCTTTGAGTTCCCTGGACCTGGATGTCCATCTCTTTCTTGGAATTTTTCTGCTATTATTTCATTAATTATGTTTTCTTGCCTTTTCCCTTCTTTTCTCTTTCTAAACTGCCTGAAATATGAATATTTGTTTGCTTAATGGTGTCACATAAATCCTGTAAGCTTTCTTCATTCTTTTTTATTATTTTTCTTTTTGTCTGCATCTGCCCACACTCCTTCTCACCATCATACCCATTGCTGCTCCCAGACAGTGACTGAGCTCAGCTGTGTTGAGCTATAGCTGTTACTGGAGTTGGGCCATTTCCGTCCATTGTGGGACTCCTCTGATGGGCCATCTTTGCTTGTACACTCAGTGTTGGCTTGGCCAAGACTTTCTCAGAGATATGCTCTAGTCTGAGGTTCTTACCTAATTCTCCTTCCTTCTATTCTTTCACAGGTGTCATACCTACATCATAATTTGAAGGTTCTTTTCACTTATTCTTGTTTCTTCTCCCCTTAATCCTTCACAGGAATTTCCCCCAATAAATCTCTCAGATGTCTGATTTTATCTTGGTACCTGCTTTTCAGAGGACCAGAACCAGCACATTTGGCATTTACAGGATTAACTCTAAGATAATTCAACAAACATTTAATGGATTTCTGCTCTGAGCAAGGCTCTGTACTAGATGTTGGAGATGCAAAGATAAATGAAACAAATCTCTGCTGTTATGTTGTTTGCGAGAGGTAGTCAGAGATCTCCAAGTGTAGGATAGTGATTAAGTGACTGAATTTCAAGTGAAAATCTATACACCATTTCTTACTTCAAACTTTCTAAATGCCATTCTTCCCATCCAAAAAAAAATGGGATTATAAAAGTACCTGTTTTATAGTATTATAGTGAGAATTAAATAAGAGATTATTCCATTAACCAGTTTGCACAGTTCTAAGCATTTAAGCATCCTCAGGGAATGCTGGTTGGTGTTAACATTAATGCAATGGGATATCTTAAATATTTTGTTTTTTTAACACATTGATTTTTTTCACCTATAGAGCTTTTTTATTGTGATGAAATATATATAACATAAAATTTGTTATTTTAACCATTTGTTATTTTGTGTACAATTCAGTGGCATTAATTACATTCACAATGTTGTGCATTTATCACTATTATTTCCAAAACTTTTTCATCACCCCATACTGAAACTGTGCACCCATTAAGCAGTAACCCTTATTTCCCCCTTTCCCTGGCCCCTGGTAACTTCTATTCTATTTTCTGTCTCAATGAATTTGCCTATTGTAGATATTTCACGTAAGTGGAATCATATAACATTTGTTGTTTTGTGTCTGGCTTTTTCCGCTTAGTATGTTTCAAAGTTTGTTCATGTTGTTGCATGTATCAGGATGTCATTCTTCTTCTTCTTCTTTTTTTTTTTTTTGGTTGAATAATATTGGTTTAATAATTTGTAAAGAAATCCACATTTTCTTTATCCATTTATCTGTTGATAGACATGTGGGTTGTTTTCAGCTTTTTGGCCATTGTGAATAAAGCTGCTATGAACATTCATATGGAAGTATCTCTTTGAGTGCTTCCTTTCAATTATTTGGGTATGTAACAAGTGGAATTGTTGGGTCCATATTGTTGGTAATGCTATGTTTAATGTTTTGAGAAACTGCCAAGCTGTTTTCCACAGCGCCTGCTTCATTTTGCATTCCTGTCAGAAATGTGTAAGGGTTCTAATTTCTCCACATCTTTGCTGATACTTTTTTTTTTTTTTTTTTTTGAGACAGAGTCTCACTTTGTTGCCCAGGCTAGAGTGAGTACCGTGGTGTCAGCCTGGCTCACAGCAACCTCAATCTCCGGGGCTCAGCGATCCTACTGCCTCAGCCTCCCGAGTAGCTGGGACTACAGGCATGTGCCACCATGCCCAGCTAATTTTTTGTATATATATTTTTAGTTGGTCAATTAATTTATTTCTGTTTGTGGTAGAGATGGGGTCTCGCTCAGGCTGGTTTCGAACTCTTGACCTTGAGCAATCCGTCCGCCTCGGCCTCCCAAAGTGCTAGGATTACAGGCGTGAGCCACCACGCCCGGCCCTGCTGATACTTCTTTTCTCTTTTTTTTTTGGTTTTGTTATTATAGTTGTCCCAGTGGATGTGAAAGAGTATTTCATCTTCGTTGTGATTTGCATTTCCTAATGACTAATGACTGGAGTTATCTTTTCATGTTTTTGTTGAGCATTTATATATTTTCTCTGGAGAAATGTCTATTCAAGTCCATTGCCGACTTTAATAATTGGGTTGTCTTTTTGTTGTTGAGTTGTAGGAGTTCTTTTTTGTTTGTTTTTTTGAGACAGAGTCTTGCTGTGTTTCCTGGGCTAGAATGCCGTGTCGTCATCCTAGCTCACAGCAACCTCAAAGTCCTGGGCTTAAGCAATCCTTCTGCCTCAGCCTCCTGAGTAACTGGGACTACAGGCATGCACCACCATGCCCAGCTAATTTTTTCTATATATTTTTAGTTGTCCAGCTGATTTCTTTCTATTTTTTAGTAGAGATGGGGACTCGCTCTTGCTCAGGCTAGTCTCAAACTGCTGACCTCGAGCGATCCTCCTGCCTCGGCCTCCCAGAGTGCTAAGATTACAGGTGTGAGGCACTGCGCCCTGCCTTGTAGGAGTTCTTTATATAGTCTGGATAACAAACCCTTATTAGATGTATGATTTGCAAATATTTTCTCCCATTCTGTGGGTTTTCTTTACACCTGTTTGATAGTGTGCTTTAATACACAAATGTTTTGAATTTTATTGAAGACTAGTTTACATACCTTATTTTTGGAATCATACTTAAGAAACTGTTGCCAAAAAAAGAGAAACTATTGCCAAATCCAAGGTCGTGAGGATTTACCCATGTGTTTTCTTATAACAGTTTGATAGTTTATGCAATTTAAGTCTTTAATCAATTTGGAGTTAATTTTTATATATGGAATTAGATAAACTCCAGCTTTGTTCTTTTGCATATGGACATCCAGTTTTCCCAGCACCATTTATTGAAGAGACTATTCTTTTCCCATTGAATGGTCTTGGCACCCTTGTTGAAAATCAGCCATAGATGTAAGGATTTATTTCTGGGATCTTGATTCAATTCCTTTGGTCTGTATGTCT